ATCCTCCCCAAAAAAACAAGTGCCAAAACTTTTTTTAAATGAACTTTTAGGTTGATTTTCTACACGTCTGTGCTACATTTCCTTGTTGTCCATAGACATGTTAGCATTGACTATAAGTGATATTTATAGTGCACAAGAAACTTTGGGGTGACGATGAATGTTTTCTACTATATAGTGCTTGTTTAGCACGTTTTTGGCGTTCTTGACCCCAGTGCTTTTCTATTTGTACAGAAAACCATGTCTAACCAAGGTACCGTTCATCCCGCTTCACAAATGAACGCTCAGGCAGATGCTGAGGCCCTGGAAAAAGCTATGAAGGGACTCGGTTAGTTTAATCTATTTTCTCCATTACCCAAACGTTGCCCTTTTGAGTCCTTTGATATTCTACCAGTTTATACCTAGACTACCATTTAAATGAGGTCATGAACACCAGAATGCCTTACGAAGACGGTGGTGCTTCTGTTGAAACCAAAACCCTATATATCGCAAACTTTATTCTCTACTAGGCACGGACGAACAGGCCATCATCGACTTGCTGTCAAAACGTTCTGTTCACCAACGCCAGCAGATCGCAGTAGCCTACAAATCACAATACGGAAAGGTAAGTTAGCCACACTTAAATAAAATCCATTTACTTCAAAAAGGCCACCAGAATTACACTCGAAATATAAGCTAGTAGGTGACCCAGGTCATCGCGATTCGCGCCAATTATCTTGCAATAACACGTTTTTTCCTCTATCCCAAAAGGACCTCAAAGACCGTTTGCACAGCGAACTGAGTGGACATTTCCGACAAGCCGTTCTCTATTCCTTCTACGACATGGCTCACGTAAACGCCAAGGCCTGCTACAAGGCCATAAAGGGCGCCGGCACTGATGAAAAGGTTCTCATTGATGTCATCTGCACATCCACGAATGAGGAAATAGAAGCCCTGAAAAAAGCCTACATGGATAGTGAGTTGTCCTGTTATATTCCTATACCATGACTATCAAAACGCAGGGCAGTACTGTAAAGGATGAAGAGTTTGAGCTAAAGAATTTATCATTTTGTTTTCCTAGGCAAAGTAGATTATGTCATTTGCGTAAGGGTCCTTATAAGCAAACTATATTTTAATGTACGTTGGTGTATACTTGTTTCGTAGTAAGTGATGTTTTATTTTAGTTAAGTAAACAATTTCTTTTTATTAGTTATTTTTATTAGTTTTCGTTAAGTTATTAGTTTAATTAGTTTAGTTTACGTTTTTTTTTAGTTTATTTGAGTTGTATTTTATTACTACGTTTTATCATTTATAATTTAGTTCAGTTAACCTTAAGTTTATCTAGTTTTGTATGGCACAGCTTAATTTAAACTAAGATTTTTTATAAGGGATCATTATACTCAGCTGTTCTTAATGGGTATTTGAGAGTTGACTTGCTTACAGTTAAAAAAACCTCGACATCATCTGTGTTCCACTCTCCTGAGCTAAAGAAACCCTACTGAGGTCTCTGCGTTTTCACATTTTCGTACGCATTCCACTAAGTCATCCAAACCTACTAAATACTAAGCAAACCCAACTGTTAATTAATCTCTTGGCAAATTTCGGCCACCAGTTGATTTCCAGTAAGCGCTTGCTCTCTTGTACTAACTCCATTTTTCTATCCCTTTTAGTCCTCCTTGAGGAAAAACAAAATGGTAAGCAGATATAAGGTCAGGCGTAATCTAACGCTGCTTAAAGAAAATTGAAGTGATTAATGCCTTAAAACTGCATTTTGCGGTTCCCACAGCTCTTCGAAGGAACTTGGAACTCGATGTCAAAAACGATACTAGCGGGGACTTTGAGAAGGTGCTGATTGCCCTGCTGCAAGGTAAAAGAGGGGGAGATGTGGACGAGGTTAAAATGCGCGAGGAGTGTGAAGCTCTCTATGCGGGCGGTGAAGCGTAAGTTTACCTATATTCAAACGTAATCGCATTGCTGATGCCGAATATCCAGTAGGGAGGCTTGAACGTTCTTACACAAAACATAGATAATTTATACTGATACAAATTAAAACGTCACCATTAAATGTTAACCCTAATATTTCTAAAGCGGCGAGAAAAAGTTGCTCTTCTGTTTGCAAAAAATTCCTCATTAAATGGGGAAGTTTTCAATTTACAGGAGATTGGGAACTGACGAATCCACCTTTACGCGGATTCTTGTCACACGCAGCTGGAAGGACATTGTTAAAATCAATGAGCATTATAATGCGGTAAGACCGAGCCCCTGTATACACTTAAACTTTGCAAAACCCAAAAACAAATGGTCCTAATAACCTAATGTTGTTTTGTGCAATTTCAAGGCGGTTGGTCACGATCTGATTACGGCCATTGGCAAGGAAACGTCCGGGGACTATCGAGATGCTCTTCAAACGATTGGTGAGTTCCCACCCTAAAATTGTGATATTATTCTTAGCTGTATTTGGCCCACGCAGTACCAACATCAAAGTTACTGTTTTGCAGTAAGGACGGCTATCAACAGGAATAAGGCCTATGCTGAGGTTCTCTACAGGACTATGAAAGGTGCTGGCACTCATGATGACAACCTTGTTCGAATGATCATCGCGCACTCTGAGGTATGAATATTCTACTTTAAGAGCATTCTTACATTAGTTGTTACACCGGAATTGTTGTTATTCTGGGATGAGCAACCTGATGTGGACTTATTTTATTTTAGGTTGATTTGGCCGTCATAAGGCATACTTTCGACAGCACTTACGAAAAAAGTCTTGAACAAATGATCAAAGGGGACACGTCTGGTGACTACCGCAAGTACCTGCTTGCGATCCTTGGACAATAAGAATTGGACTTTTCTGATCAAATCTTAGTATATTATGCTGATCTTTCCCGTATTATCTTCTACTACAATACGACAGTTCGAAAATTATACCGAAAGCATATATATTTGTTTGTCTCTTCCTTGCGTAACAGATGTTTTAGTAGGGTTGTGGGACGTCTGGGAGATTCGTTAAGACAGGATGTCTAGTTGCAGATCGGAATATTTTTATCTGAATTCCTATCACATTATAAAATAGTACCGATTTAGAAATGTATATAGGTAATTTTAGTGGTTACTTTATTGGATATTTCGTACGTAAAACAAACACACGCCAGAGATTTTGTGGTCATTTTTCGAAAGCAGAAGAAAAACATCCAACCAGTGCAGGATAAATTCGGACAAGAAGAAAAGATAACACCGCACTAATTCCGGTACAGGCACTCGTTGATGAAGGTTTACCGATTGTTAACGGAACTCACTCATGCCACTCTGGCTAGCGTCTCATTTCTTGGACCAGCACAACAGTCGCGCAGCGACTAGTATTGTAGAATGATAGTATTGCTGGCGAAGATTAAAGATTGTGAAATGTCTCATTCCGGCTTATTATCCGTCATCATCCGAGGCCCAACTCGCGACTTTTTTGATCAAAAGTCTAACGCCCTAACCATCGAGCAACCAGATTGTTCACTTGCCGGTTTAGTTCGAGAGGTATTGAAACTCGTTGAGGTATGTTCGTCGAGCGCTAATGGAACTCTGCCTTGGTTGTCACTTTTAAGGCCCCGAGAGCAGCCGCGCCGCGGCTAGAAATCTAGGTCCGAAGTTTTCGCTTTGAATTTGGACTTCCAGTTACACTTCTTTAAGTTTGCCGATTCCACCTTGTCAGAAAAGACATTTATCTCGCCAACCATGGCCCACGATAGCTCTACAGGCGTATTTATTTGTTTAAAGGCTACCGCAGGGCGCCTTTCTTCCTTTTATGTTCGAACACTAAGAAGCGAAGAGTAAAGTGGAGATTGGCATGACACGACCACTGCAGCTGGGGAATGATCACCTTTTTTGTTCCATACATCCTTCGATTTGACAGGCGGTTGGTGGACCAGCCGCTGTGGTTAAAATTCTTCAGTCCTGTGAGCAGAGGTAAAAAAAGAGCGAAGGCATTTGCTTTTTTTTCCACACAAAAACCGACATTGTGTCTGAAAGAAAAATAAAGGAAAGTCATTGGCTTACTATTCGCTTGTTCTTGCCTTTAACTGACCTCACTATAAAGAAGACAAAGACGCAATCACTGGGACAGCAATCGTATTAGCCTGAGCTCTCGGTTTCGTACAGGAGGCCATCGTCAGAGAGAACAGCAAGCATTGGCTCGTTATGTAGAACAACTGCGAGGAAATGGGGGAAGGGGTAGGGGATAGCATTCGGGATTGGTTGTGGTCGCGCTGACGACGTTTCCCATATCGTCTCGACATGCGTCCCTGACGTTATGCCGTGTGGCCCTAGGACAATGGCCTGCGTCTCTGTCGTGGTATTCTCTTCTTGCCTTGGGAATTGGATGTGGGTGAAGATGCCGTCAAGCAAGTTTTGGAAATCTGCTAGTCTGTTCCGTTCAGTTGTAACAAAGGTGTCATCCACGTATCGGCACCAGAATGCAGGTTGCAATTGATTGAAGGCCATGTTTTCCAGCTCCTGTAAGACCCGTTATGCGATGAGACCGGAAATTTGGGAACCGATTGGCATCCGCAAAGGACTCAAACAGAAGAAAGAAGAATCGAGGTGCCCTCTAAAAAATTTACCATCTAATGCAACTCTTTGTCTTCTGACATAGAAACGTTTTCACTTTGAGTGGTAGAACCGATGAACAGATCAAAAGAACGCCCATAGGCTCTCCAATTTCCAGTCTGATCGCAGAACTGGTTTTGCAGTAGCTGGAAAACGTCGCCTTCACTCAATAGCAACCTACACTCTGGTGCCGATACGTGGACGATACCTTCGGTATAAGCGGAGGGAGCAGATGATCAGACCTTAAAAACCTGCTTAACTGCATTATCTCTAACATCCAAATCACAAGAGATGAATAGAATGCCGGACAACTGCCTCTGCTGGATGTCCTCATCACGTGCAAACCCAATGGGGGACTTAGCACCACGGTGTATAGAATGGCGACTAACTCAACGCAGATACTCAACTTCTATAGAAACCACCCAATGGCGCATAAACGCGGCTGTGTTAGAGCACTCATCCATAGGTTAAAAAGACCCCATATTGAACCTGAGGGACGAGTGCGAGAACTACGGCACGAACTGGGACCAACAGGCAAGAAATGGATACCCGAAAAGTTTCTTCAGTCGCCGGCTTCGTACGCGCCCACGGGGAACAAACGGACGAGAGCCACCAACAATCTGTCACCCTCTCCCGTACATAAAAATGTGTCAGAAGCAACTAAACGTATCGCTGCAGAGCTCAGCATGGGTATTGCTCATCGTCCGACGGCTACCATGCATTCACGGGTCATGCAAATAAAAGACTGACTAGAACTAGGTAAGCAGTCTGGCGTCGTTTGTCAAGTGCCATGTCGCGACTGTTCTTGCCATTATAGAAGGCACATTGAAGGGTGACTAAACTCACGAATAACGGAGTACAAACAGGCAGTGCGGAAAAGCGACTCACTATCCCAGATCGCTACCCACACTCTGGAAGAAGGCCACGAATTCGACTTCTCGGGCACGCGAATAATGGCACGTGCGACTAATAAGACGGGCGAGAACTACTGGAGACCTGGGTATCAGACTCCAACTCCATCAACAGGC